TAATTCAAAGAACTTTTCACATTTCCTTAACCAGCTCTGAGGGTTAGTGCCATCAAATTCTGGGAAATTAATCTTTGGTTTGAGTGGTCTATGAGTGGAAGTAGGTTCTGAAGTATGGACTATCGGAGTGGGAAGTAAAGGGGGGATGAAGAATAAAGTGGGTTTCGAAACAAATGAGGGCTTGAGAAAAGAGGAGCAGGTGGAAAAGTGAATCCCCGACCTACCTCAAAAGCAGATGGAGTAAATGGAAGGTGAGAACCGACCATTTGAGTTGTAGAGCTTACCATTGGGGGTTTTCCAGTCGAAGTTTGGCTAGTCTCCAGTCGAACCTGAGTTCCAGGAGCCCTTGTTGGTATTGACTGTGGAGTCAAATCAGTTGGGGTGGAGAGGGGAGAGCTCGGACTGTTCTGCAACGCCATATTCGAAATAATGAACTCGAGCTTCTTGTTCATCTCACAAATCTCACCCAACTGAACCTGAAACTGTGATTGATTCAGCTCGAGGGTTTCAAAACGTTTGCCCACATCCTCTACAAAAACTGAGAGCTGACTGCGTACCATGCGGATATCATCTTGCAAGCTTTGCAGCTCTGGAGTCGACACCATTACGTGAAGCGTTGAAGTACCAGGTGGCTTTGATACCATTGTAACAAGAGCTTAACTCTTGATACCAAATTAGTAAAAGGAAGAAAGGAAGAGGAGAACAGGAGAAGAAGAGAGAAATTTTGAGTCAATAATATTGATTCCCCTTAGCAGAGTAGTACAATTTGTATATAGCAAATCTAACATTTCCGTTGTTAAGGACAACTGTCAAATTCTCTAACAGAATGTAGGACTAGTGCCACAATTGCAATTAACTAAGCTTAAGGACTAATAAGTAAATACTTAATACTAAAATAAAGGGACTGAATTAACTTATTTAAAACTTAACTAAAAACAGTCACAATAGCTAATTGTGACAGATAGGGACTTGTGAAATAGTAGTTATTTGATAGATTCATGTTTCGGTCTGGAGATGGATATACTTCTTTATGTAAGGTTACAAGTTTTCATATGTAAATCCTATATGTAAACTTTTACCCCTGATACATAGAATAAGTTAAAGGGCATATTTATGTATTATGCCTTATTATTATTATTATTATTATTATTATTATTATTATTATTATTATTATTATTATTATTATTATTATTATTATTATTATTATTATTATTATTATTATTATTATTATTATTATTATTTATTATTACTATTACTATTATTATTATTATTATTATCATGTAATATATTTTAATTAACGATAAGTGTATCTACATATTTCTTCTTCAAATTGCAAGACTATCGCTAAAGAAAAGTCAACAAAACATAAAATATCAAAGAGGTATGTGATTCTTTAACGTATCCACTATATCATGATATATCGTGTATCAAAAAGGTATCATGATACGTCGTGTATCAAAAAAGTCTCATGATACATCTTATATAAAAAAGGTATCATGATATATCATATATCAAAATGGTATCATGATACATCGTGTATCAAAAAGGTATCATGATACATCGTGTATCGAAAAAATATCATTATGTAATGTATCTAAAATGTATCATGATATATCATGTATTGGATAGGTGTCATTATGTAATGTATCAGAAAGGTATCACGATACATTATGTATCGAAAATGTATCATTATGTAATGTATCATATTGGTATCATGCTACATCAACTATTGAAGATGTATAGTGGCGTAATGTATTGGAAATGTATGATGATACATCATTTATCAGAAATGTATCATGATACCATCAATAACATAATCTAAGCAATTGTTCTTTGCGTTCCGATTCCCAGAATGTCATATCAGAACTTGAATGGTTGACAAATTGATACACCTCAATAATAGACTAACTTTGATACTTCTGTCATGACCCGAGTCTACACTCTGGATGTGACCGACACTCGAGAACCATTGTTGGTTCTCAAGCGAACCCTCATCCTGGCTGACTACAAGCAGAAGACTAACTCAAGCATACATAAGCTTAAAACTGAATTAAATTTATCAAACTCATATACTCAACTTTAAAAAAGTCAATCTGAACAATACTCAATGAGAATACTTATAGTTTGTAAACAACTCAAAAGAAAGTAAATACAGAAAAACTCCTCAACTTTATCTATCTGTGAAGCCTCTACTATTAAAGAAGGATATTGTGACAAGACCCACGACATCTCAAAGCTACTAACTGTAAGGTAAATGTGAAGTCCTTCGGAATATAAGAAGGCTCACCAAAGCTGACTGGAATGTCACATGACCTCAACGAAACGCCTGTTGATGATCCTGAATACATGTATCTGCATCATAGGCCAAATGACGTCAGTACATTGAATGTACGAGCATGCAAGGGGAAATTTGAAACATAAATATAAGCTTGAACTAATAAAAGGAAAGATATATTCACCTCGTCTCAACTCAATATGACTCAAGAATACTCAACTCGACTCAAGAATACTCAACTTAACTCAAGAATACTCAACTCAATATGAAAGCAACAATAAAAGATGCAATATACAAAGCTTTACAAACAGTAGACAAGGAGTCAAAATGTATAAAAATACCATAATAAGCTCTCTACTCTTATTTGAGAGATTCTCTAACCGACAACTATCACTATGAGCTACGTACCCACGCTGCCAGAACTGTCATATACCTTGCCAGGGTATAGAAAATCCTCAACTAAGTGGATCCACTAAGCTATGCTTAAAAGCAATAAGGAATCATCTAAAAAGTATGATCCTTTACCCATGTTGGCATACATGGTTTATGAGGATTTTGAGTTGTCTGAACTCATCCCCATATCGGTGCTTAATACTACACCTAATAATATATATAACTCATATATATCATTCTCAAAAAATATATATAACTCATGCTCATATGTTTAAAAACATAACTCATCCTCAACTTTAGATTATTACTCAAAAGGTTCTCTCAAAAGAGATAAAGCTCAAAAACTCCTCATAAACTCGCTTTGAAATGTAAAAGTATTTACACTTGGGAATACTTAGTTCCCTTATATTCATTTTGAAACATGAAACTCAACTCTCCTCATCCTCATACTCAAGTACTCAAGTCTTAAAACAAGTTATAAATGATTGCAAAACACTTCTCAAATTGACTCAAAAGGACTCCCCCGAACTTTACTCTTAACTCTATCTTGAATTTGAAATGTGAATTCAAGAGTTATTTATGATATATAGGATCTCTCAATGATTAATGTAGGTTTAGATAGTTGGGATTAAGAAGGGAATGAAAGTTCGATTCAAAGGAATAAGTACGGATCGAAGAACGAAAGGGAAGGTGGACTGACGCATCCGTGGCGCACCGCGCCAGCCCTCCATATACTGGGGCTGGTTTTATGGCGCACTGCAGGCGTATGGCGCCATCCCTCCTGGCACATCAGGGGCGTGCCGCTCCAGTCCAAACCCAGAAAATCTAACGAATTCTTCTTGCTCAACTCAAGGCCTAACTCATCTAGAATCGAACGATTTCCTCCCAAACTCATTTGGATTCTTAAACCCAACATAATTACAACGAAATCCACTCAACCAAGAACAACACTCATTCGCAAGACCCTGACCTCAAGACTCAACAAACTCAATTATCAAAGAATGAAGCACAAAACCTCAAGAACTCAACAAGCTCTCAATATACTCAATCTCATGAACAAATTCGTAAATAAAACTCATGATTGGCGTGAGGGTGAACAAACCCATCACTCTGAAAACTTACATACCTTGAAAGAACCATGTTCTTGGCGAAAATCAACGAATCTTGAAGAACGCTTGAAAACCTCATTTTTCTCCTCTTGAAACCTCGCTCTAAAAATCCTAAGTGTTTTGAAAATGAATGGGTGATTAGAATCTAGGCTATTGTAGAACTTGAGAGAAAGTAGGAATGAGTGTAGTTCTTATGACAAACAGTGGTGAAACTGCTCCATCCATAACTAGAGGTGAATTCAAATCGTGATTTATACTGAACACCAGGTGGGAAACCGAAAAAAGTATAGTTTTTATGATTGTTTTGTTTTTTAAGAATGGCATATGAGTGACATGTGATACTCACGATCGTTTTAAAGTCAATTTATGTAAGTAAGGTCAAATATGAGCACTTTAGCCTAAGAGATTAAAAAATATACTTAAAGGACAAAAATAAGTCAACCCAAGAAAATAAGAAATAAGGTTGGCTAAAAACTCAACATTTCAAATCATTCAAGAATGGTCATCCTTCTAATCAGGCAAAGGTTTAGAGAATTCTTGATGGCCATTATGTTTTCATTATTGATTTTGACCAAAAATAGAAAGACAAACAAAAGACAACAACTAGGGTCAATTTTTTTCTTCCAAATTGATGTTGGGAACATTATTCCCCTCTTTAATTCTTGACAATTTTGATCAACCTACAATTCATTTTGATCATTTCTACTCAAAAAGTATATATAATCTTCTTGTTTTTGAATATGGTGAGCCTACAAGGATTAAATGAAGAAAGATTGGTAGCTGTGGCCATTGATAAAAATAAAGGAAGCCAATATGCACTTAGATGGGCTACTGAAAATGTACTTACAAAAGGCCAAAAGGTTACATTACTTCATGTTCCTCAAACTCAAACTACATCAGCACCACAATCTCCAACATCATGTAACAATGGTATACATTAAAAAAATGTATTTCGATTAATCGATTTTGTAATCAATTTATTTCATATCATAATGTACATGTTCATGTTTTTCGGATTTGTGTTTTCTTATGCAGTAGGAGGCAATGATTCATCAATCGGACAAGATTCAAATAGCCAATGTACAGATTTGTTCCTTCCTTTTCGCGTCTTTTGTTCTTTCAAAGAAGTGAGAAAACCAATTTATTTCGCAAAAATAAGATTTTTAGAATAAAATGAAAATAATAGTATGACATTATTCTTTTACACAAATTTTCAGATAGCTTATGACCTAATCATACTTGAAGGTCAAGACATTGCAAAGTCTCTTATTGACTATGTTTCACTATACAGAGTTCAAAATTTGATACTTGGTTGTCCATCAAAGAATGGGATTTCAAGGTACTTTTTATTTTTTTATTTTGAATATCTATGCAAAAGTTTATCGGAAACAACCGTTCTACTTGTGAGGTAGTAGTCAGGTCTACCCTTTTTAGACCCCGCTTTGTGGGACTACACTGAGTATGTTGTTGTAATATCTATGCAAAAGTATGTTAGAGATACTAAAATTTCATTTTATAATGACAGACTTTTCACTAAAAGTGATGTTGCAAATACTGTAATGAAGAAGGCACCAAGTTTTTGCAATATTTACATAGTTTCCAAAGGGATGAAAATCAGTTCTACAAGAATGGCTTCTCATCCGTTGAAACGGAGATCCTCGAATCCTAGCATACGAGTCCCACCACAACGCAATTCCAACTTTGATGCAACTAATTTAATGTAAGTGTAGATTATACATTTGAGTTAAGTACGTACTAGTACAACAACAACAACCATGCAACGTACCAGTATAATCCCACAAGTTTGATACATAACGTGCATTTCTCATATGTATGGAAACAGGTCTCCGTTTCCGAGGGTGAGTATATCAACAAACAAGACATCAGATGAGGTTTATGTGGCAAAAGCTGATAATTCATTTTCAGGTTCTGATAGAATGAGCACAGATAGTACTTTGTTCCTGGATTGTTATGATAATTTAGGAAGTGAAGTTCATTCTCATCATCCCTCAGTATCTATGGACAGCAAAAACGTTGGAGAGCCTACGAGGTTGTCTGGTTTTGGTCCTACAAGGTTGGTTGATCATATGCATTCCACAAATGACTTTCTACTATCTGAACAGAAATGTGAAGAAAATTCATTGTCCTCCGATAAAATTGTAAGCTTCAAACTTCTTTCACCTCTGCACTTTTGGTCTCTGTCAAGTATTTAATTTAACCAACTCTGCTTGTTAGATTTCAAACGAAAACGATAAAAGATAAAATGTTATTTAGAAACTCCGTCAACTATAATCCCATGAACAACACCACCAAAAAACTACCATAATCAACAAGCACAAATAACAAATACACCTAAAGGAGCACCTAATCTCACAACCACCTTCTATGAAGAAGGGTGCGATAAGGGAAATAAGGCCTCCAGAATAAAGCCTATAAATCAAACTGCTGCAACTACGAGCTTTCCTCCCAGTTTTTAAAAGATCTAATATTTCCACAATATCCGTCTTAATCTGTATCACAACTGTTTCAGTCTATACACTCAAGTGCTTGAATGTAGTCCAGTTCCTACCCTTCCAAGTGTAGTAACAATTGCTCTCTCCGTGGCTGCCACAATCTCCTTTTTGAACTGCTTCCTTCTAGTTCACTCCAGAACAGTTTTCACTTCACCAGTTTTAAGTTGTTTTCCCAGCCAATTTGATTGATCAATTATCAACTGTTTGGTCCAAACACAATCTGCAAATAAATGTAGTAATGTTTGGGTAGCCTTCATATTACATAAGCAACAGTCATTAGTGTCGATGGGTATGTTCAAGCGTCTAAGTCTTGCTTTAGTAAGTAACCTCCCCTGTACAGCTAGACAGAGTGTGTTTAGTACAGTGTCTAGTTATAGAATAGCTTCCATTAGTAGTTAGGATATACATGTCATTTTTATACCCATTTATCATGTCATTCTTTAGAGAATTGAGCTTGTTTGAGTACCAACTACAACCATTAGGGGGTGTATGCACCAAGATGTTAATCTTTGACTTCATATACAATCCGTGAATCCATTTGACCCACAATGAGTCCTGTTGTGTTGAAATTGCCACAAGAGTTTGCCCGTATAGGCAATGCTCCAGATGCTGCATCCTTTAATGTTCATGCCGCCATATTGCTTTGGGATACACAATTTTTTCTAAGAGACCAGGGCTATACTCCTCTTATCCTGGTTGTTTGCCCACAAATACTCTTTACAGTATGAACCTCTTTTAGAACATTTTGAGGAAGAATGAACACAACTCCCTAGAATCTATGAATGGAGAATAAAACTACAGTAATAATTTGTAATCTACCAGCATATGATAGCATCTTAGCATAGCCATTCTTGATCCTATCAGCGAGTTTATAGCAATGAGTTGTTGACATTCCAATTTGCTCGATTTCTTAGAAAATGTGTGATCCTTAAGAGGAGGTCCTTATTCTGCTCATCAGTTCCAGCAATGAACATATTTGATTTGGCTATGTTGGCTATCATCCCATTGACTCTTGTGAAATGGTACCACTATAACAAAAATAACTTTTAGTAGCAATAAATGTACACATTAACAAAGAGTGATAAAACCTTTACCAGCATTAGTTAATTGTCATTGGATCCAGTGTCGCTATAGGCTTGAGGGACATTTACAAAGAGTTTTAAATGTCGCTAAAAAAATGTTTTTAATGGCAATTAAGCTATTACCGTTAACTTTTTTGACACTAAAGATCATTTTTTATGTAGTGTACGACATTATATCCGGATCCTGTAATGCTTATGGTTGTTATTCTTTCATTAGTTTCTGTCCTTTCGATCGGCCTAGCCTTAAGTAGTTATTATTGCTGTGATTATAGATAAATAATAGCTCTATTTTGTGAGTCACTTCATATTGTTGGATCAAGTTTTCGCCTATCCAATATTTATCACTACTTACCCTGTGAGAATTCGGGCTATGTCCCAGTCCCAGTATGACTGATCATTTGAAAAGACTAGATAATTAAGCATCATTGGCTTAGTCAATTGAATTTTTTATTGATGTGCTAAGTGATTTGGTGTATCATATCATTGATTCTAATGTATAATTTGATCCAATATGGCACAATCCAATCGAGGTGGAGAGTTAACCAATACCCGTGGTTGTAGGGTTTAGCAAACAGCTATTTGGTGGACTAGTTGTGGTTTGCGCAAGTTGGTCTATACATACTATCATTAAAGTTGTTAGTGGAAGCTAGTGAAATTGGGTAGAATGAAGAGTTATACACCTAAAAAATGACTTAAATCAATTGAACTTTCAAAAACATATTTTTGAAGGACACATTCAATAACATCATAAAGAAGCTTGTCTTAAAATTACTGTGTAAGTAGTGTATGTATGTATATCAAATTAACATTATCTCTTTTGGTTGAGGAATCTTAATATTTGACATGTTAGATTTTTTTCAGAAAGAAATGGAAGAAAAGCTGAGAAGACTAGAGTTACAAACAATTCAAACTATGGAAATGTACCATGCAGCCTGCAAAGAAGCACTACGAGAGAAGCAAAAGGTAATGACAATATTTACTCTTTTTTAATCATGAAGAAATGTGTTCTTTTGGTGGAGTTTTGGATTCTTTAATTAATCCAAAGTTGTTTCGGTTATACAACGTTGTTGGACTGTTGTATCTTGGAGGGGACAAATCAAGAGTTATACTATTGGATCAACGAAGATTATATGCGCTTCAATCTCCTTAAAAAGGGTTAAATATCTGCGACTTAGCTTGAGTGTTTAGGGGGCAAGTCAAGAGTTATACTATTGGATCAACAAAGATTATATGGGCTTCAATCTCCTTAAAAAGGGCTAAATATCTGCGACTTAGCCTGAGTATTTGTTTATCATTTTTGTGATATGTTCACCCAATAATTTTAAACCACGTACGTAAGCATCATACTTTTTCATTACTGTAGCTTTTAGCTAGGAAACAATATCACAATGTAAAATAGTGATTAAAGTACTCATCAAAGTCATGTAAAAGGCAAAATAACACTTTTGACTTTGCCCATGAATCAAATCTTTTTTTCTTATTAGTAATGTCATTTGTACGTTTACTGTACACATTACCTTATGTTTGTACCATAGTCACACATTTTTAGTTGTAAATCCCATATAATATATGCTTTTACCTAATATTGTTGCCACTCCTTGTCTAAGTAATTGTTAGTCTTCCGACATCATTTTGTACATCCGTTTATGGAAAAATAGTCTTCGAGTACTCGAAGACTATTTTAGTATGTACTCGAAGTCTATTTTAGTATGTATTTTAACTTCTTTTTTTATGGTATTTAGTTGAAGGAACTTGAAAATTTGAGGAAGGAAGATGTGAAGAAACTAGAAGAAGCGAGACGAGAAAAGGAAGAGGCATTGGATCGTGTTGCCAAGGAGAAAGCATTAAGAATTGCATCGAAGGAAGAGGCGAAAGCCGCTCAAAGAAAGGCTGAAAGAGAGGCACAAAAGAGAAAGCGTTTTGAAAGAAAAGCGCTTAAAAAATCTGAGGCCAAGAAGTCTACTATAAAGTCCTTAGTTCACTCCCAAAAGGCTATAAAGTATCAAAGCTTACTTAGGATACTTGTGGTTTTGATAATTTTCTACCTTTATTTCTTTGAGTTGAGATGATCATTAGTCATGAGTAGAGAAGAAAATGTGAGGGATATGAAGAGGAAGTTCTTCCGGCAATCTCAGGCATATTACTAATCGATTATTTGGCCTGGTCATTGATATTGTCATCAATGAGTAAGAAACTAATCCCAATTTCTCTGTTCTTTTTTTATATTTATCAAATGTTAAGAAATTGATGTAATTTCCTTTTTTGTTGGGTGCAGTGAATCGGGATCCTGATGCATATAGATACAAATGGTTCAATGGAAGCAAAAATAATCACATTGGGGTTTATTATTGTTGTTGTATATGTGTCGAATCCTTGATTCTGAGAAATAGGAGAAACTCAATCCTCTATTAATGGAGTAAATTGAGCTCAAGGATGGAGACAATTATGAGATCTACAAAAGGAGAGATAAGAAATTCTTGGACCATTGCAAAATGAATTTGGGGGAAATGAAAGCTATCTCATTCTGAGTATGATACACACATATCATGCATTATAAAAAATGGCACACAAAATATTCTCATCACTGAGGTCATATAAATTGAACATTCCAAAATCTTCTAGAGATCGAGGCCTTATATTCTGGGTGTGCCATGGAGAAATTTTTCTGCAATAATGAAATGCACATATTAATAATCTATGATGGTTTAGTAAACAATCGTAAAAATTGGCTACAAATAACTCAACTAATAACATGACTACCCCAAACTATTAACTGAACTACAGATGATTACAAGTGAAGAATCTAATCAAACACTTAGTTTGCAGGATCATTGAATTCGTTTCACTTGTCAAAAAAGTGTAATCGCATACAAAAAGTGAACTACATCATATAAAATCACAGTCTATATTTGTGTACCTATTACAATTGTTCACTTTTCAGAGAAGAAATCTTCAAAGAATCTTCATACAAACTTTATCGGAATTGGAGAGAGAGGCAAAAAAGTTTTGTCTGTTCTTTTGCATGATCTAGATTGACCCACATGGGTGACCCGGTCCAATCTCCCTCATCTTCCGCTCACATAAAATGGGTCAACTCTCATTCCTATTCGGTAAATTTCATACGTTACAACTAGATTGTGTGACCGTGCATACTCCAAGAACTTCCTTGCTTTACATTTGTTAGGAATATACAATATCTCGATCAATGAAATATAAAGTAGATTATAGTATGCAATACCCAAGATCATTTATCACATTCATATTTCTCATCATCTCTTTTTCATAATTTTGAGTCATCATTATGTACTTGTCTTACAGAAAAACATAAAGGACGTCAATGAACACAATTGATGTGATAATATCCAATGTCTTCCTCATCTTATGAATCTCTTGACCTCAACATGATATACTTTTGAAGAAATGTCTCGCCAAAACGATTGCATGATCTCTTGGCAAAATACTAAGATAGAAAACACCAAACTGAATCTCAAGAAACTTATTAAAGTCATGAAGGTATAATGTGAAAATTACTTATACTTTCAGGGCTTGACAAGGTAGCAAGTAGAGACGAAACGTGTATCTCCCTTATGGGTCACTCTATGCATACATGGTATGAAA